GTGTGTGTGTGTGTGTGTGTGTGTGTGTTGCAGGTGTTTTTAGAATGTATTTGTGTCGTACAGTCGTTCAGTAAAGTAATTGTTTGATGGGAGGCTGAGGGGAAGATGCACCTTATTACATGGACATTGAATGAATTCTCAGTGGGATGTGAAGAAGTGTGGACTCAGTCTGAACAATTATAGTTTATGAAGTTTTACAGTTTTATTTACATTTTCACTGATTCCCCAGGGAACTAGTGTTTGAGTAGAGCTGATCGTCCAGAGCAGAGATGGAGGCTCTGACATCATCTTCTGTAAACACTTCAGGATTATACTTAATATAAAGTGTGAACCTACAACAGAATATTATAATATTATAGACTTCCAGCTCCACCCGGCCACCAGTGTTTGCGGTGATGCTGTTAATTTTGTGCTAATGACTTTCTTTTCTCTTTTGTCTCCACTGACACATGTAATCATCCTCGAGTCTCTTGAAAGGAGCTGAATAAATTCTAGTTATTACTGTTATTGTTAAAGTTACGGTTGGTAATCCTTGAAAAGTGAGTTCAGGCTACACGATACATCTCACCCCCTCCAAAGCTCCTCCCCCAAAGTGCATGAACACAAGCTATCGGGACGTGAAGGTTTTTAACCAATAAGATAAAACGTTATCAGACTCTGGATTACAGACAACCATCTGATTGTCCTGCGTCATGTGGAGATCACAAAGGAACAAACCTCAAATATCTATTAATCAAACAGACAGATCTGGTTCATCTGCTGCGTGAGCTCAGGGATTCGGCTGCTGAGGGAACTTTTCTTTAAAGTGGAGTCCAGACCTTGTTCTTTGAATGACAGTGTTGGACTGACGTGGTGCATGTGAGGTATGCGTGGTTCACGTGTTGCTACAGCAGCTGCTCAGGACGATTCGCTCATGTTTGTGTCCTTGAGGTCATTTCCATTATTTCCCGTTCTACTGGATTTGTAAAGAACGCGTCCTCCTGCACGCCAGTATCTGGACTGAGGTCTGAACGATCTCACACACGTCTGATGAAGTTCTAGTCTTTGGACAGAACATCACATGTTTACCGAGCGGCTGTTTCCCCCCCGTGGTTTCTACCTGAGGACAGATGAGAATAAAACTGTGATGATTTAGATGTTAGATGTTTGGAGAGAGGACGCAGGACTCCAGGCTCACGGCCGTTTTAGTTTTTCAGGAAACAAACTCGTGAAAAGGTCTTTTCCAGCGTCTTATCGTCAAATATACGATTTTTGTATTCAGAACATTTAGTAATTATAATAGACCAACCCCCACCCTGACTCCACACACACACACACACACA